GCCACAACATTTCCCTATATGAACTCAGCCAGCAAGGGATATGACCCACTTGGGAACTGTGACCATATTTGCTCAATGGGATCAGTGACATGAAAAGTGGCCCTGGGAAGCTTCCAGCTCTGGAATCCACCCAAATACCTCTGAGCACTGAATGACCTTCAAGAGAGCCATCTGCCTAGTCAGCTAAGAGAGAAAATTAGAGAAAGAGAGTAGGCATGGGTTATACAGAGAGGAAAGATTTGAAGTAAGAGATTTCTTACTTCAAGTGCTGAGCTGACTCACCATGTAAGCCAGACTGGGTATTTCCTTAATTAAATCTAACAAAGAGTTTGGGTATTGTCCCCATGTACAGTCAGGGACTGAGCTTGGACCAGTTCAGGCCTGCATCGATGGCTACTTCGAACATAAGCATTGGAGCCATGGTTTTGCTTTAAAGCCAGTATTCTGAGTTCATCACTAAAACCACTTTATCCCAAATTAAAAACAAACAAACAAACAAACAAAAAAACATGCTTCTAGAAAACACTAAGGGAGCAGGGTTTCCCACAATACTATACCGCAATTGGGTGGTCAGACTCAGGAAGAACTTCCTTGTTACACAAAAGAATTAGCTGGATTCATGGGGTTGTAAGCATCCTTGGGCATTCTTCCTGCGCACACTCAGAAGCAGAATCGTCAGGTCTTCGGCTAGTCCCGTTAAAACACTTGACACCTGGTTATGGCTCATTCTACAACCAGGGAAGCTAACCTGACCCAGACGCTAAAAAGAATGAAACCAGGTCTTCCCCCAGACAAACACTGAGGTTGCAGGCAGTGTGTTGATCATGCCTGGCCTGAAGCCTGACCCCTCTGGTAGAATTCCTTTCCAGTATGAGGAAGCCTGGGAGGAATTTGAGGCTCTTCAGGTCCAGCATTCATCAGCAACCCAGCTTGGAGTTTTTCTGCTCATTCTGCACCAGATCTTTCTGAGCATTAAAGACTGGAATGTATAATTTTACGATTTTCCAAACTGTGTTCCGACTTTTTCTTATTATTCTTCCTCCCCCTCCCACCCCTTTTAAAAACTTGTAATGAATCTGGAAGGGATCAAAACCTAAAAAATGGTTCCTTTTTGCCTTTTTTTTTCTCTTGCCAAGGGTACCCTGCAGCTGTACTCTCTGTTATTGAAAGGGGGAACGCCCTAGTTAATAATAATAATAAAAAATCCAAGGCTGTGAGCCAGCAACAGTGAGATCTTTGGGTTTAAGGTTTGGTGGGCTGAAGGAAGATTGGAAGGAAGGGATCAAGAGAGGAGGTGTCAGGCATGGAAATGAGCTGAGGATGGCAATGTCAAGAGCCCAAAAGCCCTAGCTAGTCGAAAGGTTGAAAAAAAAAAAAAAAAAAAAAACAGAAAGAAAGTAAACAGTGTAAAACATCTGGATGTCTTCAAACATCTGTGTGGTTGGCGTTGTGTACACAGGACACCTGCAAGAGTGACTGCAGTTTTCTTGGGGGTGTGTTTTGATTTTTTTTTTTGGTACCAATGTTTGGGAACCCTATGGTTCCCAGATGTGTTGCAAAATGTCTAGCTAAAAATAAATGTGCGTGCTGTGCCGTTAGGCAGGCACAACCCACAGTGAGTGTGTGAGGAGGCTTCCGAGCTGCCTGCTGGTGTCACCCAGGGATCGAGGTTACCAGTGATGCTGTGTGGCTGAAGCCAGATCTACATTTATCTATCCATTTGAGGGGCTGTTTAATAAACCAACCCAAAGGCTTCACTGGCATGTGGATGCTTACTTGAAGCTTTATGTTCCAGTACTTTTTCTGAGTGACAAGGTAGTTAGCTTTCTAAACTTGCTGTCTCCTGTTGGATGGAGTGGAACTGGGAGGACATATGTCTGCCTGGCTCATCGCTCCATCCAAAGCACCTGGTCCACTATCTGGCATTTGGCAGAGCTCAGGAAACACCTGCAGATTGGCTAGATGGATGACATTGGCTATTAGAAAACTGGAAAGCACAGAGACAGGTCATCATAAGTGCAGGGTGTCAGCGCCCATTTTGGTTTCTGTCCCTGCCAATTCTCTGAGGTTCTCTTCCCATCTCTGAGACATGGGAGCAAAGACAGACACTTTGAGGGGCTTCTGTAAGATGGTGCAGTGCCACATCATAGGTGTTTAGTAAGTAGTTTCTTCCTCATGTTGTTTAGTCTAACATCAGCTTCATGACTACTAACCATCCAAGAAAGATGCATGGACAAGACAATACTTCATTCTTTTTCTTTGTACTTTTCAAAGACAGCCATGTTTTCCTTCCCTCCCCATCCTTCCTTTCCCTTTCCCCTCCTTTCCCTTTCTCCTTCCTTCCATCTTTCCTCCCTCCCACCATCCTTTCTGGAACTAAACAATTGCCATTGACTGAGCCCACCCCAGACAAGCACACAACACACACACAAGCCTGTACCTTCACACAAAACCCCCAAAGACACATCCCACCAGGAGCCTGAAGTACAGTCTCATTTAAGAGAGGAGACTGAGGTTAAGTTAGCTCATATTCACAAAAACACTTCTGGCTCCCAAAGGTAGGCTGCACCCCTGGTGTCTGACCCTGAAGAGCATGGATTGAAGGTCACCCTGTCCCCTCTGTGTGACAGCAACTGTCTCTTCACATCTTCCTGGGACTCAGTATCTACAGTGACTACATGCCACCTATTGGGGATAGCCACAGCCTGCTGGATGCTGACCAGGCCTCCAGTGCTCTGGGACACCTGTCCCATTTACAAAGTGAGAAATCCAGAGAGGATAAGCACTTAGGAAGCCAAGGCAGGAGGATTGCAAGTTTCAGACCAGTCTGGGCTACAGAGTAAGACCTTGTGCCAAAACACACAGGAAAAATAAAAAGGTTCAGATAAGCTAAACTCAATCACACTGTACATGTTAACCACGATGGCTCTGGCTCCCAGAAGGGGCTGATAGAGTTTCCTTTCTTGACACAGACTCTTTGGCTCCACACCTTTCTTTCTCTCCTCTCATTTCACACACACACACACACACACACACACACACACACACACACACACACACGATCAAATCTGGAGCAAGAATTCTGTCACTGGGCTGTAATCCCAGCAACCCAGCTCCATATGTAATTTGTGAGCATATGTTGATTTGAAAGAGATCAGAAGATAAGAAACGATAATCTCCAATCAGCAGGGTCAGATTCTGCCCCCTTTCCCCCAGGAATGGGTGTGTTTGAGGTGACAGCTTGGCAGATACATCCAGGTATGACCCCCCTGAAGGAAGCAGCTGGCAGCAGTTAGAGACCAGCTCTTCAGTGAGAATGATGTGCCATGCTGTCCTAGCTATGAGAGATTCTCTTTAGGTTATCAGGGCATTTGGGATGTCAATGTCAATCCTTCTTCCTCTTCTCCTCTTCCTCCTTCCTTTTATTTGTTGAGAGTTTTGGAATGCATACATGTGATATATTTTGACCAAATCCACTTCCCCATTCTGCCCCCAATTCAATCTTATCATAGAGTGAGGGCCACACCACTAGCCTGCATCAGAAGTGATGAGATGGTTGTTGGAAGGCGGACCCCCCCCCCAGCAACACACTAAGAGAAGAATCAGATTATTTTTGCCCAAATGTGTCCGGGACTCTTAGTCTGGGAACTGGGTCTTAGTAAGTTTTTGCCTCCCCACTCCCCACCTCCCCCTCCCCAGCCAATGTTGTAGAAAACTGTATGCATGCAATTTTCAAAACATGCCATTTCTGGGAATTCTTTTAGAAAATGACCCACCCCAGCACAATGTTAGCTCCCAAGAGGGCCAAAAGCCTCAAAGTGCTTGATGGAGACTCTTCTGAAGATGAAGGTATCTCCATTACCCTGTATCGAGACTAACTAATACACAGAAAAGGGACATGATCCAATTCACAAGACACAGAGACACAGAGATTGGAATTGACTAAACAACTACGAAAGACGACTTGTTTAAATTACATCCATCTACCCACCCGTCCATCCATCTATCCATACATTATCCTGTCATCCATCCATCCATCCATCCATCCATCCATCCATCCAACACCATTCATCCATGCATCCATCTAGCCATCCATCCATTTATCTCTCATTTATCCATCCACTCATCTATCCAGCCACTATCCAGCTACCCATCCATCTATCTACCATTCTTATCCACCCATTGACCCACTTATCAACCCACCCTCTGTCTACCTATCCATTGCATGGACTATTTATTGTTTCCTTCATGCACTGTGACATTGACGAGCAGATATTTTATAGCACGGCAGCCAGATCACTAGTCATAGATCCATTTTCAGCCACTGTGTAAGGCCTTGGGCAAGCTTCTTAACCTCTGTGGTCTTTCTCTCTCATGTATAAAACAGGACTAAACCACATCGTAAGGCTGCTATGAGGATTGAGTGGGTCACCTCGTGGGAAGTGGTTAGGATACAGTCAGGCATCGTCGGTACTATGTGTGTTAGTTTTTATTGTTGTTGCTTGTACTACCGTTATTAATAATATTGCTGCATATATGCTGGGTTTGGGATGATGGAGAGAATGTACAAGAGGGATGAAACAGTGGCACCTACTGTTAATTATTAAGCTTAATAATAAGGATGCTGATGATGATGGTGGTGATAGTGATGATGATAGTGTGTATTGTGGCACTTTGCTTTGTACCAGTCTCTGGATTGATTGCTTAGTGGACACATTTTCCCATTTAATTCTTTCTCTATGCTCCTCTCTGTGGGAAGAGCTACAGAAGACTTCATTACATTTTTGCATATGGAGAAATTTAAAGTCATAGTCCAAACTGTGTGGCCAGGATGCTCCACCCACTCTTTCTTTCTTTCTTTCTTTCTTTTTTTTTCTTTCTTTCTTTTTTTTTTGGTCAGAATGGAGGTTGGAGCTGATAGCCTCTAGTCTCAGACCCCTGGGGCTATCTCTGGTCCTGGCTGTGGTGTGGGGTGACTAATTTCTTCCCTGTCTTTGCAGATGAAGAATGCTCCAGCACTGAGCACCCCTATAAAAAGCCGTACATGGAGACCTCCCCCAGCGAGGAGGATGCCTTCTACCGCCCGGGCTACTCCCAGCAGCAGGGCCTGAGTGCCTCTTACAGGACAGAGTCCGCCCAGCGGCAGGCCTGCATGTATGCCAGCTCCGCACCACCCAGCGAGCCCGTGCCCAGCCTGGAGGACATCAGCTGTAACACATGGCCCAGCATGCCCTCCTACAGCAGTTGCACGGTCACGGCAGTGCAGCCTATGGACCGACTACCCTATCAGCACTTCTCTGCTCATTTCACTTCCGGGCCCTTGGTCCCTCGGCTAGCTGGCATGGCCAACCACGGGTCTCCTCAGCTCGGCGAGGGGATGTTCCAGCACCAGACATCCGTGGCCCATCAGCCTGTCGTCAGGCAATGCGGGCCTCAGACTGGCCTTCAATCTCCAGGTGGCCTCCAGCCCCCCGAGTTCCTCTACTCTCACGGCGTGCCCAGGACCCTGTCCCCACACCAGTATCACTCCGTACACGGTGTTGGCATGGTGCCGGAGTGGAGTGAGAACAGTTAAAGGCAGACCTTTGCCAGAGAGAGGGGGGAAGATAAAGAGAGAGAGAGAGAGGAGCGAGAGATGAGGACAGTAGCAATGAGAACCCCACAGATGAGACACTCATGTCACCTGTCCTCACCTCTGGGCCTGAGGCTCCCACGGCCATTGTGATCTGATCAGTGAAGTCACCGTTCTGAAACTGTGGCTCTGTTGTTTTGTTTCAAAACCTACAAAACAGGACAAGAGAGGAGTCCCAGCCCCACAACCTCCACTGTCATCAACCAGGCGCACTCACAGCACCCTAGACACACTCCCCCATTGTTTCTTTTGGGTTCCAGAACATACTGCCTCATTGAGTGTTTGACCCCGGTGCATGGTGAGAGACATCCTCTGTCTCGGTGTTAATGTTGACTTTGTTATATAATAAATAATAATATATTTTTTTTTCTTTGAATTTTCTTACGGGGACCCAGTCCCTTAATGGAGGGAGAGCAGAGGCAAATATGTCTCAAAACAAGTACTTTAGGGGCTTCCCTCCAATAAATGAGCTAAAATGTACATCCGACACCCTCCTCTAACAAAAATACCTACCTCCGTCCTGTGAGAAGTCTACGAAGGTCCCAGAGGTACCTGCTAGCTGTTTTTGGATTGGGTTTTGCTTTTTTCCTTTCGGGTTTGACCTGCCCTCCCCAGCTTCATGGCATTCAAAGCTGCCTTCTACGGAGCGGATGGAGTTAGGATGTTGGACTCCATCTGCCACCTCGCCTTCTCAGCCAGCACCATTTCTCCCCAGCTCCAGGTCTCTCCAGCCGTCTGTGGCTAGAACGGGGCCTATCACTTCTCAGCCGGAAATCTTGCTTCAACCAACTGAAAGAGCCCTGGGTGATGCAGGGGAACAGAACTGTGATTCAGAAAAGGGGACAAGCTCCCTGCTTCCAAGTTGTAGAGGGAAGAAAAAAGCCAGAGGATAAATACACTTTGTGATTAAAAAGCAAAGAAGACAACCAGGAAGTCAGCCTCGGGCTGGCTCAGACCTCCTCTGTGACCCGGAAGGGATGCACAGCTCCTGGTGCTGAAAGAGAGGGAGCCATATTAGCGGTGCCTCTGCCTGCAAGAAGTCACCCCAGCACCAACCACCTGGGACACAAAACTACACGCATCAAAAGCAGAAAAACAGTGTTAAAAAAAAAGTGTGTAAGTACTACATTATTGTAGGGTTTCTCAGATGTAATATTTTACTGGTACTATTTATTTATAAATAGGAATTCTAATTAAGTAGTAACATGAAACCCAGCCTGGGGGCTGACCAAGACCTTTTAATTTTATTGGAACTCAAAACTGGGTTTGTGTTTTCCCCCCCTCTCTTGCTTTTGAATGTGTTTTCCTTTCTTGCTCTTTAAAAAAGAAAAATTTGTGTCTCTTTTCTTCCTTCCTTTCTTCTTCTTCTTCTTCTTTTTTTAACTGACCCTAATAAACAGAACAGGGTAATCTGTGTGGGTGAGGATGTGGAAATCGGTGAACGAGTGACTGTTTGCACGTGAGTGTCCTATGCAGTTTTTGTCCTTTGGTGTCTCTAAGGGGGTGGGTGGGTGAGAATCAAGTACTCGTTTCTTACATTTGTGTGCCCATTAATGCCTAATAAATACCATGTGCTTAAGAGTACACGAGACGTGGACACCCGTTTTTTTGTTTGTTTGTTTGTTTGCTTGTTTGTTTCTGTTTTCTGCTGACCAAAAGAAGGGATGGATGGCTGCTGGGCAGAGAGAACAGGGAGGCTTGCCGCTGACGTTTACCTGCCATCCACTCTTAGAGGTATTTCAGACCCACTGCTCCCAAGCAGGGTGGACTGGGATACTTTATTCATGGGATTAGAACCCTGGGATATGATGTGTTTAAAACTGAATTTACCTGGGCATTAGAACCAAGGGCCTTCAGGAATCATCCTGGTAACATTTCATAACTGAACTATAATGCCAGCTGGTCTAAAAGTGGATCCTATCCAACAATAGGTACCGCCTTGGCCTGGGTTTTCTGGAGGGTCTTTTCCTGAACTATTTTTTAGATTGGCTGCATTGAGAGGTTCTCTATGTAGACAACTTATGGACCAGTATTTTTTGTTGTTGTTTTGCTTGATCCAGAGTCTCTCTATTATGTAGGTCTGTCTGTCCTGAAACTAGCTCTGTAGACTAGGCTGGCTTTGAACTCACAGAGATCCTCCTACCTCTGCCTCCCGAGTGCTGGAATTAAATATGTGCACCACCTCCATCCAGCTGAACCAGTATTGTTTTCTCTTTTCTTTAAACCCAGGAATTTCAAATTTGTGAAACTTTGGGCATCTGTCACAACAGATGTAGTGCTGGCAGGGGGCTGGGGAGCTGTCTTGGTAGGGACAGTGACTGCTATGCAAATGTGGCCTGGCTTCCATCTTCAGCCAGCATCTATATTTAAAGCCAGGTATAGGGTGCACACCTATAATCCCATTGGTGGAAAATGGAGACAGGAGGATCCTGGGAGCTTGTCTGCCAGGTCCACCTCAATCAGTGAGCTCCAGGTTCAGTGAGAGACCCTGACTGGAAAAAGTATGGTGGGAAATGATCGTGGAAGACATCTGATGCTGACCTCTGGCTTCCATGGTACATGCATGCATGAACACACCCAAGCACAGGTGCACACACAAACATGAGCATAACACAATGATTTAAAAAACATGTTTCATTTTGTCTTTGTTTTTGAGAGAGGGTTTCTCTGTGTAGTACTGAAACTGGCTCTGTGGACCACGCTGGCCTCAAACTCACAGTGATTTGCGCGCTTCTGCCTCCTGAGTTCTGGGATTGAAGACAGGTGCCACAACTGACCAGCTTGTTTTGTTTCTATAATTAGTTTTTGTTTTGTTTTGTTAATGCTGGAGATGGACCCCAGAACCTCATGAATATTAGGGACATTTTCACTGTGGCCCTGAGCCATGCCCCAAGTCTATTGTTGTAATTGTTTTGATCCCCACGCCCCTCAGATGAGCAAAACATCCATGTGTGTCTCATCCACTCAGGAAAAAAAAAAGCAATTGGCTTGTTGATTACACATTATTTATTTAATCAGGGCCACCAGATACCTTCCCTGGGCACAGAGTTCCTGGGAAGTGTGAATTAATCATGAAGAAACAACATACACAATCCAACTTCTTTCATGTACGATAGAGAAACTAGGTCAATGGCTTTGCTGTCCCCGAGGGTGTGAATTAGGAAGGTCACACCAAATAAATACTGAATGCCGTTATGCATTTATTCTTCTTTGTTAATCTGAGAAAAAAGTTTGCCTTTGAAGAGATGACCCCCCCCCAAAAAAAGTCTAATTTAACAAACTGAACTCAAAACACAGACCCAAACACTTTGGGGTTTCAAAAAGCTCAGTGGCTCTCCAAACACAGGAGGGGCACCCTTTACTGTAAATGCTTGGGACTAGACTCTAGAAATTTGATTTTGGGGGGGTAGTTGCCATTACATGCATAATGAGGTGTCTTGTGGGGATGGGACTCAGGTGTGAACATGAAGTTTATCCACGCTTATGTATACTTTCTAGGCAAAGTATGGAGGTAATTTTGTGTACTGTTTTTAGCACACCTGAGTTTTGGCATTAACCATTGCCCAAGTGTATTTAAGTCAGGGGTAGAATTTTCTACTCAGAGTCAAAGGTTGGTGCTCACGAGATTTTAGATTTTGAAACATTTTACGCATCAGCACTTTGGGTCATGGAGTGATTTGATTCCCATCTCTATTCCTCAAACACTTGCTGCCGCCCCAAGATCATTAAGGCTTTTAATTAGGAGCATGTTGGCAAGCTTCGTTAATCTGAAAGGGCAGGATCGCAATCTGTCTTTTTACTTCAACGGTGGCTACCATGGAGTTTTTCATTGAACCAGCAGGGCTAGTGTGTAGGGCAACATGCTCAAGTCTCCTCACCATGACTGTCAAGGAGTACAGCAGCCATTGCTCCATTCTCAGTGTGTGTAGGGTGAGCTCACTCTGACCTGGACTCATCATAAGGGCTGGGGAATGCTGGAAGAAACTAGGTGATAGGAACTCAGTACTCCTGGATGCTTGTACCTTAATGAAAGCAAAGGTCTTTAGTCTTGTGGATGAAACTGGTCCCCAAGGCTCATAAGGAGTGGCACTGTTGGGAGGTGTGGCCTTGTTGGAGTAGGTGTGTCACTGGAGGTGGGCTTTGGAGTTTCAGAAGCCCAAGCCAGGCCCAGCAGCCTTCTCTCTTCCTGCTGCCTGCTGATGCAGATGTGGAACTCCCAGCTCCTTCTCCAGCACCGTGTCTGCCTGCATGCTGCCAGGCTTCCAGCCATGGTGAGAATGGACTAAACCCCTGATTTCCTTACAAGAGTTGCTGTGGTCATGGTGTCTCTTCACAGCAACAGAATCCGAAGGCTCCGGGGATGAAGTAGTGTTGGGGAACTGTGAAGACAGAGTTCACAGTGTCATTGAGGGATAGGTAAAGGGGACCTAACCTGATCTGTGGTGGTGTGCGTGAATGCATGAGTGGATTGTGATGTGTGTGAAAAAGTGTGTGTGCATGTGTATGTGTGTATGTGTGTGTGAATGTATGTGTGATGGTGTGTATATGTGAATTTGTATATGTGAGTGTGTTTGTGTGTGAATTTGAGCATGTATGTGTGTGTGTGTGTGTGTGAATGTGAACGTGTGTGTATGGATGTAAGTGTATATGTGTGTAAGTGTGTATGCACCTGTGTATGAGAGAGTGGTGTGTGTGTGTGTGTGTGTGTGTGTGTGTGTGTGATTTGAGTTGTGTCTAGTGATAAATGGAAACTAAGTGGGTAAACAATTGCCAGAATCAACATTTCAAGCAGGAAGGTGGACAGCAGAGGGAGGCTGAGGAACAGGTGGACAGCAGTAGCCATGCACCCACATTCTTCTGCTCTACCAACAGACACATTAACACCGCATTGCCCGTGGTAGAGCTCCTCACTTGTGGCAATGTTGTCCTGAGCAGTGACAGAGCTGCAATCAGTGCCAGCTGGCCAGCTGTTAATCACAGAATGTTCTGTTTCAAAGTCAAGGAGATGCCTGGATATTTATGTCTCCACTTCCCAGTGTGACTGTTGGTGCAGGGAGGCTGTTGTCCTGGGCTGAGCTCCATGTTCCTTGTTAACAAGCATAATACTCACACGCTCTCTCTCACACACACTCACACACATTCACATCCCTTCACATCCCCTCACACACAGACACACACAGTCACAACACTCATACACACTCACATCTCTCCCACCCCACACTCACACTCACACTCACATCCCTTCACAGCCCCCACACTCACACACACACTCACACTCTTTCACACATACTCACATTCCTTCACACACACTCATATATTCATGCCCCCACACCGCCATACACTCAACACACTCACATACTCACACTCTCTTATAAACTCACACTCTCTCTTGCACACTATCATACACACTCATACACACAGTCACTCACTCACTCTGTTTTGTGGCCTGGATTGGTACATTCACTTTACCCCTCACTGTCCCCGTGGCCTTGGGTAAGCCACTTAACCTCTTCCATTTAATCATCCTTGGGATGGAATATTCCATCATTTATCGCAGGGACTGTTGGTTGTAGTGAGGAGTCAGGGAAGCTAAAATCATAGGCTGCAGACGCCTGGCATAGAGGAAACACCTGGGAGCCCTCAGCTGGTAAAAGCGGCAATCAGTATCTGCCGTTGCTTCTTATTCTCCTCCTTTCTCTTCCCTGACTTTCTCTTCCCCAGAAAGCCACCCCACGGTCTTTTATTATTTTCACAGTAGATTTAAGCTGAGTTGGGGTGAGGAAAGCACCACACTTACTACAGTTACCACTGCTACTTTCACCATCCTCACCACTGACATTATTGGCATCATCATCATCATCATCACCACAATCTCCATGACCACCACCATGACCACCATCATTATCCCCACCATCACTATCACCATCACCACCATTAAGATCGTCACCATCCCCACCACCATCACTCTCATCACCACGATAATCACCATCGCCATCGCCACCACATTCACCACTGTCATTATCATCTCCGTCACCAAGATCACCATCCCCACTACCATCGCTGTCATCACCATTGTCTCCATCATCGCCAGGGTTATCACAGCCACCACTTCATTTCCCTGAGGCAGTTTGGAGAACCTTCTTTCCTTGCTGGCTCTTTTTATTTCCAGAACTGCAGGAGTCAAGGGACAGGAGGGCTCTGCAGGGGCAGGGACATCCCAACTGCTCACACAACAGATGTGCCCATCAGAGGACACGTTCCACCTCTTCAGAAGGGTTCTGTCTGTTATAGGATATAGCTATTGTCATATGACCTGTGTGTGTGCATGTGTG